CTGCTCGACAGGGAAGTCTGAGCACGTCCTAGAAGATCATACAACCCGACAGGTAATCTAAGACGTATGATGAACGTATCAGAGTATAGTGGACTCCCTGATTTATTGAGCCTAAACACTGTACCATGAACATAAAAAAGATGGCGGCATATAAGCAGACTACAACCTAATATTCATCAACTGACAGAAATGTCAATTGAAATTGATGGGCGAGCAAGCCTCAAAAACCAACAGAAGCAAGACCGAGCTCGACGCACTTATTTTCTGCTTTCTGAAGGTTCTTTGCTCCTTCATCCCACTTAAGGCAGGTTTGCAGCTGTAACTTGTAAGCAAGAAACTGTCAGATTGATATGTTTGTACCAAAGTCTATTGTAAGTAATGGATGACAGAAATAAAGATCATTATTAAGAATATTTACTGGCTAATCTCATCAAATCAATCGTATAAAGTCTTCTTCAAAGAGTTGAGCATCATATCTTTGGAAGGAAGATTATTACTTTTTGTCCTTTTATTTACAAATAGAATGAAAAGCTATGAATTAGACAGATGGTGGAGTTTGAACGTTGACAAGAGTTCCGATCTTCTGGGGAAGAACTTCCAATTCAGTGAGTGAAAGAGCCTTATCATTGTTGATATCGAGATTTTGAATCACATTATCAACGTCTTGAGATGAAATCTGAAAAAAAAAACGATTCGTATTCTGTACATTGATCAACCGACTTGTCCGTATAAGTTGGCGAATTTGTAAATCTCTGGAGCAGTCAGCTTGCCATCTCCATTGGCATCTATGAAAGTAAGCAATTGTGCGGCCATTTCACGGTTGAGTTCAGCTTGACTCTTTGGCTTATTGAATAAGAGTTGAGCTTCGAATTCAGCAAAACTTAATTGTCCATCTCTGTTGGTGTCAGCGATGGCTAAAACGCCGCTGATGATGCTGAACAAGGTTTTTGGTTGTTTGTAATTAATGAGTTCTAGACAAACCCATCATCGAAGTTAGCACGAGCACGATCGATTTCTTGGCTGTCAACGATTCCATCGTCATTCTGATCCATCTTCTGCAACACAATTATGGATAAGGAGATTAGAGAGATTTGCAATTACGCGGAAGATTTCTTGGGCAGCATCAATAGGTTTTTTGCTTAATTCATAAGCTAAAGGAACAAACTCAGCGACATCAAGTTTTCCATCTTTGGAAGAATCGAATTTGTGGAAAGTTTCTGAAGCGACGGGCTGATGTGCAAAAAAAACGAAATCTCGCTCGTTACCTCTGATAAACTGTTCATTCTGATCTTTTCGCTTCAATTTACTCCATTTTTCGAACTCATTGAAGTCAATCTCACCATTGCTATCCAAATCCACATCATCGAAAGGTGTGACTGAAAGGAGGCATCAACGATTGTAAAAGGTTTGCCGGTTTTGGTCAAAAGAGAGTTCTCTCTAATTTTAGGGCTTTGTAGCCAAGTCGGCCGGTTTCTTGTTCAAGTGCAAAAAGTCATTGACATCTCATATCTTCAAAATTGCAATATGTGTCTCATATATTGGTCTGACATGAAAGATGAATGGTACGAAGGATGATGATGATGATTGAAACAAACATGATCACATAACAACATCAGTCATACAAGTTGTATCTTCCAGTTCCTTTTTTTATAATTGAAAAGTAAGAAACTAGTTTATCCAAATAATCTTTTCTTATCTTTCTCTCACTCTCTCTCTCTCTCTCTCTCTCTCTCTCTCTCTCTCTACTTCACTTTCTCCCTTACCATTCGTATTCGCCATTTCCATGTCAGCAAAGGCAACACATATGCTAATTAAGCCAATCACATACGATAGCTTCATCATAATGACTCTGTAATGGAGCTTTTAATGAGCTGTAAGAAAGATATGCAAGTAACGAAAACAAAAATGTTCAAAAATCAAAATTTGACGTAACATTTCAAATGTGTGAAGTGAGCGTCTTGGAAATTGACTTTCAGAAGGACGGGTATGATGTAAGCGAGATATCTAAGGGGAGGGAACTCGTCTACAAACACGTTTCGTGTCGTGGGATATGTTACCATCAAGGACGAATATTCACGGAGAAAGCTTTTTCTCATTTGTTGATTCATCATATGTCCATATCCTACCCCCTTCGCCCCCCACCATTTCATATTATTAAAACATCATAGACATTGAAAATGAACTGTTCAAGCGTCATCCCAGCTATCAGATGCAAATGCATGTCTGAGTCTCCGTATTGAGATCAAGAGATTCATTCGCAGATTTTCACTCGGAAGAACGGTTGTTCATCGACACGTCAATAAGAACTACAAAAAACAAATGATAATATCATTTTGAGAAAACTGTTGCGGCGAAGCGGTCGTGCTAGTCGACTGAACAGGGACGATGGGCAATTTGCTACCACGGCAAATAAAAAGAGAAAAACCTGAATTAGCCACAAGCAAAGCATTTGGGGGCAGATGTCCTCCGACTGTAGTTAGAATGCACAGGCTCCCTCAAGGTAAAAGCATGTGGAGGTTGATAGTCCAGTTCCCTTTACAGCGACTCCCAAACGACGTTGTTACTTGAGAGTATTGAGACAACAGAGAATACAGGATTACTTGTTAGTAGAGAGAGAATATTTGGAGAGAAGTCTAACGCAGAAGCAAACTAACGAACAAAATGAAATCGAAGAGCAGCTTGTAGATGGGTTACGTGGAACACCATTAGGACTGGCTCGCATCCAAGAACTCTTTTTGGATGAGAAGGTTCATAAGACCAGAAGAGTTAACCAGTACCACTAACGATACTCATTCAGCACGCTGTCGTTACAGTTCTTGGTTCCAAACTCGATTGGTACATCCCTATCCTCTCAATTGTAGACAAAAGTCTTATCAAACTGAACTCTCTAGTGCTTGTCAAAACCGCTGGCACATATAAGGTTCTCGACCCCCTTGAGTACTTGATAAAATCATCTGTTCAGAATATTCCTCGAGCAATCACTGGTGTTTTGAGCGATACAACGGATTCCTCCTTTTCTTCGTATAAGATAGAGAAAGCTCCCAAGGAAACCTTCGCAGTAACGGAGATATTCTTGTTTTTGTTTCAGAGAGACGTCTTTCAGGATATAGGAGGATATGAAGCCCAAATACAAGAGCTTAAAGAAGCAGTAGAACTACCATTAAGCCATCCAGAATTTTATGAAGAAATGGGTATAATCCCTCCTAGAGGAGTTATTCTTTACGGCGAACCAGGAACTGGTAAATCATTGAAGCATATGGCTCATATGAGCAAACACGTTTCGTTGCAGGCAAAACGTTATTCGCTAAAGCTGTTGCCAATTCGACATCAGCCTGTTTCATTCGTGTAACAGCTTCAGATTTCATAAGGAAAACATCTGGAGAAGGTCCTAAACTAGTCAGGTGAATCACTGGGAGAAGTATAATTGAATTCCAAGACATCTGCAGAGATGTGTTCAAAATGGCAAAAGAGTTAGCTCCTTGTATCATCTTCATCGATGAGATTGACGCTGTTGGTACTAAACGATACAATACGAAAAGCAATGGCGAACAGGTTAGCTCTACCAATTATTTCTTCTAATTTTCATAGGAGATTCAACGAACACTACTAGAACTATTAAATCAACTGGATGGTTTTGATGATAGAGGAGACATCAAGGTCAATTTATATCACCTTTATTTTCATCCTTCCCAACACAGATCATCATGGCCACCAATAGGGTAGGCAGTTTAGACCCCGCATTGATTCGTCCCGGCAGAATTGACAGAAAAATTGAGTTCCTTCTCCCCGATTATGGAGCAAGGAAGAAAATTTTCCAGGTTAGGGATAAGAAGTGTCAAATGCATTCCATGATTGTAAAGATTCACACAAGCCCAATGAATGTCGCGTATGACGTCACATTCGACGCAATTTTCTCAACAGAAACGGATATTTCGGGCGCTGAGATAAAGGTTTTTGCTATTCTGCAAGAACTCCAACTGGAAGAACAATACTTGCAGGCTGTTTGTACGGAAGCGGGCATTTTAGCCTTGAGGAAACAACAGAAGGTGACAATCCTCTCCCACGAGCTCTAAGCATAATCATATTAACAGGTAATCTCCAAAGACCTTTTCCGAACGGCCTATGCGACTGTATGTTCGAAGAAAGCTCGCAACGATGTGAGCATATACATGTAGTGCACAGCACATACATTGATTCCGCGAAGAGAAAAGTTTGATTTTGAAGTTTTGAACGAAAATTAAAAATTTATAAATTAATAAAGTTAATTAATGCGTACATCAATAAGATATTAACTTAAATCACCTTCGCTGAATAAATAAAGTTAGAAATCTCACAAAATCATTCCCGTTTCTCCTGAATATGCTAAATCAGTTAAAGACACGTTTTCCGGACAGCAAGGCAGAACGAACACATCAACTGACCACGAAACCGTCTCAACCTCTATATCTATAAACATTCAACTTCTTAATCTGAATGCTCAGACGATACATACTTGTTGGAGCCGAAGATAACCCGTATAAATTGGCTTCAATAAGATTTTTACTCGTAACGAATTCGAAGCGTAAACGCCACTTGAAGTGAACTGCAATTGAGGAATTTGTATAAGTTTTTCAGAAATTTGCATACTCACCGTTGTCCGTGAAAAACGTGGGATTCGCATGCATTGGGATACAAAGCCGGAATGCACTATCTTTTGTATATGCACAAACGTCTTGACAAGATGCTAGAACGGTTGTTTTGCTCTGAATGTGTAGGTAAAATACATTTTTTCTAATCTCAACCACAAACCCGCGAGCTCTTACGCATTTCAAATTCTTCGTCGTCTTCATCAACCCTATCCGATTCCGGCAAAGACTCTACAGTTTCTAAATCTACAGAATATTGTACACAATTTACATCAGCATCTGAAAGTATGCGCTTAGACTACAATTAACAGAATAGTTAAACCTCGAAAATCGAGATGGCCCACTATCTCTTCCCCTAGCCTGAATACTTTCTTGAAAAGCGTTAGGAATGTTACTTTTCCGTCAGAGTTCGTCATACAGAAATTGAGGGGCTTTCTTGGAGCTGTCATTTGATCAACTGCTGACGACACCAACTAAACTTCAAAGTAAAGGCAACAACAACAAGAGTACAAACCTCCGACAAAGTGTTATTTGGTGGTGCAACAAAAGGATTGGCATTCTGGCTCTGTTTTATATCTAGTGTTACAGATGGGATTATTCTAAAAATAGAATAAGATGATAGCAAAGAAGAAGAGTACAAACCTCACAGGAATGTGCATTACCTTAATAGGATCACGAACATGCTGAACTGCTATGCTAATTTTACTTAAATATTTCACAAAATAGCCTTTGAAGGAGGGAGGAATGGTTTCCGGAATTGATATCTGAAGAAGTGAAGCATGAGAGAGAACTATGCTTATCGCTTACATCCGTCTTAAACTGTTTCTGTTCTCCAGGACCAATGTTCAGATCACAGAAGAGGATGAGCGGTAAAGAAGAATATACAGTTGATGGACTCTTCGATATTGCCGTCGCAGGTCTTTCAGATATTATAGATTGTGCACCGAAAGTTCTTTCTTAACAGTTCAGCTTCAATCATGTCAAGTCGTTAAGAATACACACCTGATACTAACTGAACACTACCCCAGGCAATATTTTCAATATTTTTCTTTGAAGTATTCTTAATGATGACCTGAAGTGCATGTGTGTGTTAAGAGTTGGATGCTTGTAGAGCTGGTTTGATTACCTTGACGGTAATGACCTCCCCAGCCAGGAAAATTGCCCTCGGCCTATTAAGAAAGCCCTTAACTTGTAAAGGCATCTGAAGACGTATGTGGTCATGTACATATGACAAGGAGTGATAGAGAGAGAGTGAGAGAGCAAGAACGAATAGTAAATATGAATAGTTTTAACTATTAGTTATATGTAAAACACTCGAAACTGCAAATTGTATAGAAATACATGCATAAATAACAATCTAAACAACATTTCCTAGCGTTTACGACAATCGTGTACAAACAATAATATTATACCTCTTGAAACTTAATAACAATTAATACAAAGCTATCTTAACAGAGATCTTAATTGCATAAGAAAATGCTTAATTTTTCCGGCTTCCACTGCCGATCCTTTACAATTATAAAACTTCGACAATTATAAACGCGCTATAATGCTAATCACCGCGCGCATTTCAAACGTTTTCTAAGTTAATAACATTATAAGAAGTTTTTGAACGACATTTTGATACAAAATTCGATATTTGCTAATGAGACAAGCAATATCCATAAACACCTCCATGGTTAAGGTTGCGCACTTTGCCAACTTCGCCTTCTTTCTTTTTACTTGGATCTTCTACAACACTTTCTTCGTTAAACAACATTCTCAATGACACTTACGGAAAGTTCGAAGAACTGTGATCAAATCAACTTTCATCCAATCGTAAGAGGCTAACGGATGAGGCTTGGTGTTTGGACTTTCCGAAATGACACCTAAATAGATAGAAGAGATAGAGATCATTGCATAGACACGGGTTTCCACTCACTGTTGTCGGAAAAATTGTTGCAAGAATTAATTGAAAAATCTACAGGAGCTGTATAAGTTTCCTCCTTGTTCTCACAGTTTTGCTGTTCTTCGCAAACTTCCTCAGTAGCTTTTGGAGTCGGCTTTACTTCTTCTATACTAGGCGTCAATGGAATTGACCAAGTTTTCTGAAAACATTGAAATTCCTCTCTGTTCAGTAGCCTTCTTCACTCACTTTAACAGGAACGGGAGCGACGGGAGCCGCAGGAGCTGCAGGTGCCACTGCTACAACAGGAGCTACTGGAGCTACTGGAGTAACAGGAGTTACGGGGACTACAGAAGCTGCGGGAGCAACGGGGGCTGCTGCAGGAGCGGAACGAGTAACTTCAGGAGGTTGCATTCTAACAGGTGAAGTCTGAAGCTAGCAATGGTATACATTTTTTGCAAGTTTCAAAACCTTATTATGTACAGGTGAAACTTGGACTGGTTTAGGCAAGCTATTGATTGGGACGGCATGCCAGTTCTTTATTTTGCCGGTTAATTTTGCCTACAAATAAGACCATATGCTGGAGATTCGTGACTAAGTTCCTACTTTAAGCTCATGTTTCATGTCTGTGACAGCGGCAGTTCTCCATTTTACATTACTTTTCATCGTGGGAGCTTGTTCTTTGGCTACAAACCGAACGCTAGAGCCGGATGAGAATATCTGAACGAGAGGACAATCGTTTAGAAGGACAGGAAATGGCTAGCCCACCAAATTTATATTAGCAACTGGTGGTAAAACATTGATTCTGGTGCAGAAAATATTATATTTGTTTCCTTGCTGTAATTACGCCGAATAGAAGTTTCAAGAGGAAATGAGCTTTACCGAGGTGTGTTCGATAAAACAAAATTCTCCTTTAGCATCGATGTTCAAAACTTTTCCGACGCCTTCAATAATCTGGGCATGCTTAACGAATTTGACCCTTGATGCTTTCCATTTGGGCTTCCATCCCGAGCTTATATACAATAATTGCTCTTTCTGGAAAGAAATCCTGATAGAGAAGACGACTGAGTGCTAAGACTTACGGTACTAATGGCTACAGCATCGAATTCCACGATATCATCGGGCAAATATTCCCTTTTCAATAATTCAGGGGGGACAATCACTGCAGTACCTTCATAACTGAAAACAGCACAGAGTTGAGAATATTTCAGTGAAGGAGAGTATTACCGCAGGGCCATATAACTATTAAGGGATAAATACATAACCGTTCCTTTCTGCCCAGATAAGGAAGTCATCGTTGATACTAAGAAGACAAATGATGAGACTGGAAAAGAAAGAATTACAAGAGATAATTCGAAGATAAAAACGAAGACACAAAGAGAGAGAAACACAAGAGAGAGAGAGAACGAGAAGCCAGTGTGACAATAAAACAAAAAATTATAAAATAATCGGGAATTCAAATTGAATTGAAAACAACTGGCTTTCATTCAATTCGTTGTCATGACAATAAAATAAAATTGATAATTACATAAAAGGAAATTGTAAGCTAAACAAGCAGATGTTTCATCTACAAAACTTTGTGGAATTCACAGCGCCGGTTCAATCTGATCGAATCTCCTGAAACTACTGCTTCATAGCTGTATAACACAGAAACCATCACCGCCAAAAGGAAATGCGATTGTTTTCACGTCGATTTTTGAGGACATTTTTCAAAAAATATTCGCCGGCTTTGTAAGA